CCGGCCTGGGGCGCGGAGCTGCGGGCACGCAGGCTGAGCACTGCGCGTGCGTGCCCGTGCGCTCGCGCGTGCGGCGGCGGGCTCCCTCGGTCCCCAGAGTCTCTCAGTCCCCCGGGACGGCGCGGATTTCGGGGTGATAGGCCTGAGGAAAGGCGCGCGGGCGGGGTCGCGCAGCGGAGCCCACGGAGGGAAGGGAGCGAGGTGCGCGCGCCGGGACGCGTGGAGGCGGGGCGAGGGGCGGTGCCGGCCGGGCGCGAGGCTGCGAGCGGGCCTGGCCGGGCACTGGAGCTACCCTGAGGCCCAGGCGAGCGCGGCGGCGGGCTGGGGGGCGGCGGAGAGGGAGCGTGAGGCGCGGGGAAGGCTGGGAAGGTCGCAGGGAGGCTGCCTCGTGGCTCCCTCGGCCTGAGGCGCTGGTCTCCTGCGCGAACCTGTTTGAGACCAGAAGTAAGGCTTTGACCTCCCCCCAAAAGAATACAGTTCCTGGTCAAAGGTACTCTACCACAGTGTAGGATCCCGTGTGGTTAGAATCGCATCTGAGGTGGAGGCTTTTGGGCTTCTAGGTGGTGTAGCCTAGGGGCCAGCATCTGAGCCTCCGCAGGGCCTGGAGCTGCGCTGGGCCTGGGTGGAGGTCCGGGTCGGAGCCCTCCCTGTCCCGCTGCAAGCCTGGAGCAGGGTGGGATGGGGGGCGTCGCTTTCTGGTTGACACTGGAAGGGCTGTGAGGAGGCGGGCTTTAAGAACGCCAGGACCCTCACCAAAAAGTCAGCAGAGGACTTACCAGAGAAATTGGAAAAGGCGTGTGAACTGCAGAGAAAACAGTGGTTAAAGATGGGGCGTGGAGAAGTTCAGGACCCAAAATGGGGGGGGGGGTAGGAAAGGATGGCAACCAAAAGTGTACCGTCTTTGGTAAACTGAAGCTCTGAGGGATGCATGTTTATTTACAGCTAGGTATCCCCGGTTTAGAGGACAGCCCAAAGCCACCTTGGAGCTGTGGAAACATTCTTAAGTGCTGACCTATTCCCTGGGTCCCTTTGGGGTTGATTTGCCTCTTATTTATTGTAGCAAGAGAACCCCAGCCTTAACCCCTTTTTTGTAATTTAAGTAATTCTACATAACGGAATAGGAAGGATATTCGTGGATGTGGAAGATAGGAAATGAGTTGTGTCGAAACACTTGTTTGCTTCCCTCTGACTATTAAGAACAGCAGGCAAGAAACTGATGTGTTATATTTAGTTTTCCCTGGACATTTCTGTCCACATTAGAAATCAAGAATACATATATGCTTTACAATATGTACCTGTTTTGAGGCATTCAAGTTAATTCAATACACACTAATATATAATGTTTTAGGGCTGGGCATGGTGGTGCACACCTGTAATCCCAGCAGTAGGGTGGCTCAGGCAGGAGGATCTATGCAAGACAAGCCTGGGCTATAAAGTGAGCTCAAGGCCAGCTTGAACTGCATAATGAGACCCTGTCTCAAAAAGAAAATATAAAAGTAATACACTATGTTTCACAATTTACAGATTTGCTTGTGGTCCTTGCACCAAGGCCAAGCATCACCTCTGTGAGTTCAGCTTTAGTATATGTACCTCCTAAAGGAGTACAATAACTTAAAAAATTTTCTCCAATTTCCAGTCCCCACATTGCTACCCTCAAATTCCTTAACAAAACTGAGTTTTTCCACCTTTCCACTATGTACCCTTTTGGTATTTGGGGATGAGGCTGTCCAATGCACTGTTCACCCTAGTATCCTTGTGACAGCCAAAACTATTCAGATATTGTCAGATGTTACCTGAGGGGCAAAGTTGCTACAGGCAAATTGAGAGTTTAGTGAGAACTACTGAACTAGAGTAAATTAAATCTATTTTCTTTAACTTGCTTTATTTTTGAGAGAACTCTCAGGCTTGCCTAGAATAACCTGGGCTTAAGTAGTGCTCCTGCCTTAGCCTCCCAGGTAGCTGAGACTATAGTTGCACACCACTGTTCCCTGGTTTTGTTTTTTTTTTTTCTCTTTTTTTGTTTTTGTTTTTCTTTTATGTATTTGGTATAGGGTCTCACTACGCAGCTCAGACTCATAGTGATCCTCCTGTTTTCAGCCTCCCCAGTGTTGGAATTACAGGTGTTTGCGGTCTCAGTGGTTGGGCTCACCACGTCATGGTGCTGGGGTTCAAACTCCAGTCCCTGTGCTTGCTAGGCAGGTGAGTTCACTGAGCTCAGTTCACTGAGCTATCTTGCCGGCCCTGTTCGTTACTTTAACTTAGCTTTTTAAGGTTTTTAAAAAAATTTATTTGGTACTTTCAGTGGCTGGCACAGCACAGGGTCTGCACAGCACGTGGTACCAGGGAACAAACCTGGGTCCTTGCACTTGCCAGGCAGGCACTTAGACCACTGTGCTATCTCCCCAGCCCTTTAAGGTCTTATTTTCTGTTCCCAGTCTACCATTCCTAGAATTTGACTTGGCCTAAAACAGCATCCAATGTAGGAATTGTTTCTTTGATCTTTTCCATAAATTATCACCTAGTCGTGAATATGTTCAGGAATGGAAAAGACTTAAAGTCTTTAGTTTGCTTGAAAGCACTTACCGTAGGGCTGGGGAATGGCTCAGAATAAGCACTTTCCTGGCATGCACAAGGGCCTGAGTTCAATCCCCAGTTCTGAAAAAAGAAAAAAGAAAAAGAAAGAAAGAAAAGAAAGCGCTTACCTTTGATACCTTCCTGCTTAAAACATACTTATTGAATCCAGTTTGCTGCATTGGAGCCATAAAACAAAAATTATTGTGGGGCGGCCGGGGAGATGGCTCTGTAGAATAAGTGCTTCCCTGGCAAGCGTAAGAGTCTGAGTTCAGTCCCCGGTTCCACCAAAAAAAAGAATTATTGTGGGGGGAGGCAAGGGACCAGGCTGAGTTCTACCACTGAGCTATGGGCTATATCCCATGCTCAAAAAATAATTGATGGGTGTGAGGGCACATGCCTGTAATCCCAGCACTCAGGAGACTGAGGCAGGAGAATAGCTGTGAGTTCAAGGCCAGCCTGAACTACATAGTGAAATTCTGTCTCAAAAAAAAAAAAAAAAAAATCCAAACACTGTATAGAACTGATATTTCAGTTCATGAAGTTAATTGTTTCCCTGGTTCTGGTCACAAACCAAATCAAACAAGAACTGAATCAAGTTTAGTGGTTAGGTTCATTGTTAACTATATGAAATTGGTTCAGTTCCCATCCAATTCAGTTTGCAATCAGATTCCTGGAAAGAATTAAGTTTGTGGACTAAGATACCACTGTAGTTACGTTTCTCATACCAAATAGTCTCTCAACCCCAATCTCGTCTCAGTCTTTCTTTTTTTCCCTCTATCTGCCCTCCCTTCTCCCTTTTAGTACAGGATTTGACCCAGAGCCTTACAGAGCTATATGCCCAGTTACCTCATTACTTTGACACTGGGTCTTACCAAGTTACTTCATCGCCTAGGCTAGGCTTCAACTTATCTCCTTCCTCAGTTTCCCACAGGGCTGGTTTTGCAGGTGTGCACCACTGTGTCCAGCTCCAAATTACCTCTTTTAAAAAGTTTATCTGATACAGTTTCTCACTACTATGCAGTTAAGACTCATAGAGATCCTTCTGTCTCAGTCTCTCCAATGCTAGGATTATGGGTGTGTGCCACCATGCCCAGTTTCAGGATCGGCATGGTATGTGGTACCCCAGATCAAATTTAGGTCCTTGCTCTTGCCAGGTAGGTGTTTAGACTGCCAAGCTGTCTCCCCAGCCAAATTACCTCTTACTATATACCCTGTTCTTTCAACTTTTGTCCTGTAACGTGGTTTCTAAGAGCATTATGAACTTTTTGGGGTAGATTGTTCATTTTGGAGTTAGGGATTAAACTCAAGGCCTTAGTGGTGCTCAGATGTACTCCCAACCCCCATGAACTTTTTATTCTCCAAAAGTATCAAGCCTGAGAATGTGCTACTTGGGGTATCATACCCTGGCTGGGTGGGGCAGTACATGCCTGTTATCCCAGCTACTACTTGGGAGCTAGAGCAGAAGGATTAGGAGCTCAATGCCAGCCTGGACAATTTAGCAAAATCCTCTCAAGTCAAAGAACTTACCCAGAAGTAAACACAGTATTCTGGATGTGGGTCATAGTACATTAGCATACAGGATGTTGCATTATTAGTTGCATGTTTGTCCTTCCCTCATTCAGATTAAAGACAAAAACCAGAACTCAATCTCTTAAGTCATATTTGTGTTCCTAGCTCAGTACATGGCCCTTAGGCCATCAAAAGATGGAATGTAGTATTTCCTGTAACTTCATTTTCTTTTTGTTTTTGTTTTTTGGCATTTTAAAAAAAATTTATTTTTATGTTAGGAATCAAACCCGTGGCCTCTACCTCTTTTCAGAGCTATACTTCCAGCCAAAATTAATCTAAAATAGCATTCCTGTACCTTTGGGAGCTAATATTGTTGCCTTACATTAGCATGTGATTAACTAAACTGATAAATTTTGTGCATCAGTATCAAGAGTTAGCAAACTAGGCGAGGTGGTAAATGCCTGTAATCTCAGCACACAAGGGAGACTGAGATAGGAGGATCCCTGGAAACCAGCCTACGATATATAGTGAATTCAAGGCCAGCCTGAACTGCATTTGTGAGACCCTGTCTCAAGGGGAAAAAACAAAAAGCAGAATTTTTGTAAAGGGCAAGATAGTGTTTTAGGCTTTATGGACCTATATGTTGTAGCTGCTCTGTCACTGTAACACAAAAGCAGCTGTAGATGGTATATAAACGAATGAACATAACCATGTTTCCAGTGAAATTTATTCATAGTCATACAAAAACTTGTGGCAGGCTAGATCTGACTGGCCTCAATTTGTGACAGTCTTCCTGCCTCAGTCTCCATTGTGCTAGGATTAAGGCCTGTGCCACCACATCTGGTTGTTTTTGTTCTTTTGCTCTTCTTTTCCAGCCTTCTCCAGATTGAGTGTTTTCATAGTATTCTATTTTTCCTCCTCTATTGACCTATATCTTAGTCCATTTTTTTGTGTCTAACAAAATACCTAAAACTGGGTAATTTGCAAAAAAAGCAGGTTTATTTGGTTTGCCATTCTGGAAGACCAAGAACATGGTGCCAACATTTGCTTGGCTTTTGCTAAGGATAGTGTGTGGGAGAAAGAAAGGTCACATGGCAAGAGCAATTAAGGCAGGGAACACCCGGCTGTGTATATATCTCAACCTGATTTCACAGAAATGAGTTCACTCTGATAGACCTAGCTCCTGCCGTGATCCCACTATTCATTCCTTTTATGAACACAGTTATGACCTCATCACCTGCCGCTAAGTGCCACCCCTCAAAGATCCCACACTTCTCATACATTGATGATTAAGCATCCTGTACAGGAGCATTTTGGGGTTAAACCATACATAGTTCTTCCTGTTTCTCCTTTGTATGCTTATTAGTGGTTTTCCTATACTACTACTAAGAGTATAGCATGCATTGTTAAAAGTCCTGGTCTTGGGGCCGGGGAGATGGCTCAGTGGAATAAGCACTTCGGGGGCAAGCGGAAGGGCCTGAGTTCAATCCCCGGTTCCACCAAAAAAAAAAAAAAAAGTCCTGGTCTTGAATTCATGTATCACTTCATTCTCTGTAAGCTTTACTAAAACATTCTCTAAGTGGTTTCTTTACTCTTCTATTACGTTTTATTATTATACTTATTATTTCTGTATTTATTAAATCCCTAAAATTGCTCCCTACCCCTCACCCTTGGGGTAGGGATTCAGTCTAGGGGACACTAAGCTGCATCTCCAGCTCTTTCTGTGTTTTGTTTTTGAATCAGCATTGGCTAAATTGCCTACAATGGCCTTGAACTTGTAATCCTCCTTCAACCTCCTAGTAGTTAGGATTATAGGCCTGCACTGGCCAAAACATTTTTACGGGGTATAGAAATCTTGTCATTTTTCTTTCAGCGCTTTGAAGATGTCATTCCATTGTCTTCCATGATTTCTGATGAGAAACTGATTCAAATTTTTAATTGTTCTAATGTAACATATTTTTTGCTCTGTTTTGTCTTTAATTTTCTACAATTGACTAATTTCCAAGTGAAATCTACTTTTTTTTTTCCCCTTTTTTATTTTATTTTTTATTTCTAGACAGAGCCTCTCTTTGTAGTTCAAGTTGGCCTTGAACTCTTTGTAGTCGGAGGCTGGCCTCTTTTTATAGTAAGTTTCTTGCCTCAGACTCTTGAGTGCTAGGATTATAGGCAGGCACCATCACACCTGGCCTTCTTTGTATTTATTTAATTTAAAGTTCATGGAACTTCTTGTATTTTGAGACTATTTCAACCGTATCTCCTCAGAATTTTTTTTTTTTTTTTTTATCATCTACATATGTAGGTAGATAGGTAGGTAGGTATTTGGTATAGGGTCTCAGTACACAGCTCGCAGTTTGTACTCATAGTAATCCTCCTGCTCAGCCTCCCCAGCTCTGGGATTACCAGGTGTGTGCTATCACACCTGGTTTTGGTGACTGGCTTGGCACAGTACTGGGGATCAAACTCAAGTCCTTGTGTTTGTCAGATGCTTAGATGGCTGAGCTAACACCTCATAATTTTTTTTTTTTAACATTATTTACTTTCTCTTCTTTTTTCAGGACTCCAATTACATGTATTTCAGGTTAGTTTGATATTGTTTCATGGGTATGCGAGTCTATTTTCTCTTCATTTTTTTCTTTCTTTGAAAATCATTGGGGTGGGGGAGATGGCTCAGTGGAATAAACGCTTCCCTGGCAAGTGCAAGGGCCTGAGTTCAATCCCTGATTCCACCAAAAAAAAAAAAAGAAAATCATTTCTATCCCTCCCCCCCCCAAGTACTCCCCTCTTTTTTTTTCCCAGTGCTTAGGGCTCGCACCCAGGGTCTTCCAGTTGCTTGACTAGCACTGTACAACCAAGCTACACTCCCAGCCCCTGATTCTTTACTGACCGCTTCTTAAAATCAGTTAATGAATTTTTAATTTTAGATACATTTTTCAGTTTTAGAATTTGTGTTTTTGAGTTTTGAGTCCTTTGCTAAAATGTTGCCTTCTCACCCATTTTGTCTGTCTTTTTAGAGTTGAATAGGTTTATAGTAATCATCTTTATATCTGCTAATATATGTCAGTACCTTGTCATGTATGGCTCTAATTGTTTTTTTGTTTTAGATAGTATCTTACTTTGTAGTCCAGGTTTGCCTTGGACCATATTTGTGCCTCACCTTCCCAAATTCTAGCATTACAAGCACTCGCCACCATGCCCAGTTCAATTCTTTGATTTCATTTGCAGAAGAACTGAGTAGGGGCTGAATTACAGCTGCCCCTAGGTACACTTCAACTCTTCTATATAGAACCATGGTAGAAGACAGATGCTAACAGTGTGAACTGTGTAATGCTGTGTACAGAAAGCTCTAGCAGAATTATTCTATGGTAATAGAAATAAGGGCCTGCATACTTGTGGGGAGCAAGAAAGAGTAATAGGAGGAAGAATCAGAAGTGCTTCTCAGATATTCTATTTCTTAACTAGATGTGTTTATTTTGTAAGAGAGAAGCTATATACTTATGATTTCTTCCCTTTTCAATGTCAATTATAGTTCAGTAACAAAAAAGAAAAACAGGTAAGAAACTTGTACCAAAAGCAAACAAACTAATCCCATAAAGTCAAAAAGTAAAATCAAGCTAAAGACTGCGAAAAAGAGTTGCAGTATATACAGCAAAGCATTTTAATACTTGCCTGGCATATATGAAGCCTTGATATGATTACAGCACTGTAAATATAGACAGGCAATTCCTACAGGTCAAAAGAGAAAAGGACTTGTTGGGCATGGTGGTGCACACCTCTAACCCCAACCATTGAGAGGCCGAGGCAGGAGGATTTCCTCCATTTCAAGGAAGTTCAAGGTCACCCTTGGTTATATAGCAAGTTCAAGGAAGGCTAGACTACATAGTGAGACCCTATCTCAAAAAACAAAGGGATCAAAAAGATAATTTTATATTTATTCATTTGTATTTAGGATAGGGTGTACAGGGTCTCACTGCATAGATTGGACTCTTAGTGATCCTTCTGTTTACAGCTTCCCAAGTGCTGGGATTACAGGCACATGCTACCACGCCGTCTCCATTGCTATATCAGTGCGCACCAGGGGTGGGGCCGGCACAACAGGCCAGGGGATTGAATTCCCATCCCCTGCATCTGCCTATACAGGCGCTTTAATCCACTGAGCTATTTGGCCAGCCCTCAAAAAGGTAATTTTAAAAAGACAACCTCCCCAAATAAAAAAGAGACAACCTAAAAAAAAATTTAAAAATTAAAAAATAAAGAATTTATTCAAAAAAAAAAAAAGACAACCCAGCACTCTGAGAGGCTAAGGCAAATTTAAACCCAGCTTAGCCAATTTAGTCTTAGTGAAACCCTGTTGAAAAAGGCTTTGGGGATGTAGGTCAGTGTGAAAACCCTGTGTTCCTCAGGATGGGATCAGAAAGAAGGGGAGGATAATCCACGAAAAAGTGGCCCATAAACAGAAAATGTTATTCAACTTCACTAACAATTGTGGTGGTTTTTTTGTTTGTTTGCTTGCTTGCTTTTTGGTGGAACTGGGACTGAACTCAGGCCCTTGTGCTTGACAGGGAAGCACTTATTCCACTGAGCCATCTCCCTGGCCCTTTTTACTAACAATTGTGGAGGTACAGTATAAATTGAAACCTTATGGAGATATCTCATGCCAATGGAAGCTCAAATGTGTTGGTCAGAGTGTGTCCAAGCAGAGACTTGTACACTGCTGGTAGCAATGTAATATGCTATAATTTAGAGGGCAAATTGAACAGTTAATGACTTGATGGCATTGAGATTGTAAGTTTCTGCAGTTTTGCTCTTACATAGATTTTCTTTTTTAGCTCTCTCATGTGTACAAATGTATATTACAAGTTTATGACAGGAAAACATTGGAAACAGACCTAAATGTCTGTTCATAGGAGAATGGAGAAATACCTCAGGCAGTTAACATGAATGAGTAGATTTACATGTATCACTATAAGATCCAAGCCAGTACTTCATGAAGAAAGCAAATACCAAAAGGATGTAGACATATGTGGACATATCTAAAGTATAAAAGAATAACATGTGATCTTTATGGATGCATATATGATATAAGTGAAAACTTAGGAAGAATAGTGATCAGCTTTGACATAGCTGTTAACCTCTGAGCAAGGAAGAGTACTGTGTAGGGCCAGTGAGGACTACTTATTTCTCAAAAAGAAACAAGTATTGTGAAAAGTTAGCACTTATTAAATCTTGGAAATGGATATGTAGTAGTTGCGCGTATGCAATATTCTCTGTACTTTTTGTTTCCTAGTTTAGTTGAAATAATTCCAGGGGGATGGGCATTAAGACAGTGTTCCTATGTACCTCAGGCTGGCTTTGAACTCACTGTGTAGCTCAGACTCGAGCTCCCTGCAATCTTTCTGTCTCAGCTTTTTGATTGCTAAGATTACTAAAGTGTACCACCATGCCCAGAAAATAGTTTCTATTGATTGATTGGTTGATCTTTTTGAGACAGACTAGTACAATTTCACTATGTAGTTTAGACTGGCCTTAAACTCACTTTGGAGAACAGGCTGCCCTCAAATTTGAGGCACTCCTCCTGCCTCATCTTCTCAAGCGCTGTTATTACAGGCATGCACCACATCTAGCAAAATATTTTGTAATTTTTTTTTTTTTTTTTTTTTTTTTGGCAGAACTGGGGATTGAACTCAGGCCCTTGTGCTTGCCAGGGAAGCGCTTATTCCACTGAGCCATCTCCCTGGCCCCTGTAATTTTTTTTTAAACTGATCCTTATTAAGTCATCCAGGCTGGGCTCCAACTTGGTTTGTTTATGATTTGTTTTTGTTTTTTTTGAGTCATAGTTTTATTATGTAGTTCCGGTTGACCTTGAACTCACTGTGTAGGCCAGGATAACCTTAAACTCATGGTGACCCTCCTGCTTCAGCCTCCCAAATGCTGGCATTAGAAGCATGCACCACCAAGCCCTGTAGTCCAACTTGTGATTCTGCCTCAGGCCCTATGAGTCCTAGGGTTACAGGCATGCATCACCATGCCCAGCTTCCTTTAATTCTTTATAATTTGGCATCTGTGTCACCATTAGGTCAAATAGGAGAATAGTGACCAATCTATTCCAGTCTTCTGTCTTATCTCCAGGCTGTATAGTAGACTTTCCAAGACCCATTTTTTTTTTTAAGGCCCATTTTATTGAACTATAATCCTCCAAAAGAAATATGCTCAAGTCCCTTACCTAAGGGACTGATCCAGAATTTTAAAAGAAAGAAAAAGCTATCCTTCCCTCTTTTCTCTCTCTTTTTTTTCTTTCTGTGGTCCTAGGGATTGATCCCTGAGTCTCACACATACAGTACTAAACAAACTACTACTGAGCAATATCCCTAACCCTTTCTTTTCTTTTTTTTTTTTTTTTTTTTTTTCAGAACTGGAGATTGAACTCGGGCCCTTGTGCTTGCCAGGGAAGCATTTATTCTACTAAGCCATCTCCCTAGCCTCCCTAGCCCTTTCTTAAATTTTTATTTATTTTTTACTGTATTTAGTATAGAGTCTATAGGGTCTCACTATACAGATCAGACTTGCAGTGACCCCCCCTGTTTTCAGCCTCCCAAGTGCTACGATTGCAGGCATGCACCACCATGCCCAGTCTCCTTTCTTAAGTTTTTTTCTGCTGGGCCTGTTGTGATATGCCCATAACCCCAGCACATGGGAGCCTGAGGTAGGAGGATCACTGCAAATTCAAGGCCAGCCAGAACTACCTACTAAGACTGCCGGAAAAAAAACAAAAAACCAGACATGGTGGGCCCATACCTCCACACCTACAGGTCCAGCACTCAGTACACTGAGGCAAGAGGATCACCAATTAGAGGCCAACATGAGTTAGAGAGTGAGATGGTGTGTGTGTGCAATAATAATAATCAATTTGTTATTTTGAAATAACAGTCTTGCTATGCGACAGGGACCACCCAAAGGAAATAAAATGCTCAAGTGCTGGGAAGGGGCCCCATAGGGATTATGCCTGCTTTGTGCTTTTATAACAGCAAAAGACATAATGGGATTCATTTCTCATACACAGACCCAGAGTTAAAAATATAACAGCTACCAACTGTTCTGAGACCCCAGATGCAGAGAGTAGTCAGCTCCTGAACACCTGCCTTCCCCTGGTAGTCAGCTCACCAGGAATAGCCTGTAGCTGAGCCCAGACATTGACAACTAGTCGGGACTAAACATGGCTGCAGGTTAGCCTCCCTCAGTGCGGAAGGACCTGAGTGGGGACTTTGGTGGTGTAGTGGTTAATTTTGATTGTCAGCTCACTTGGCTTCCCAAATGCCAGGAGATTAGAAAAGCACACTTCTGGGTGTCTGGGGTAGGTCCTAGAGCTGGAATCCTGGAGCTGTATGCAGGCCCTGGGCCCTCCTCTCTGGGCTTTTAGCTACTTTCTGTTTCTGCATACCAGGAGTGGAGCAGCTGTGTTCAACTGCCCTGCCAGTGCATTTCTCTGAGCCTGCTGACCATGGACTGAAATCCTAAGCCCAAGTAAACCTCACCTCTTCTAAGTGTTGGGCTGTTAGGTTACTTCACTTCCCAGCAAAATAAGGTTGACCATTGCAGGTGGAACCTTTGCTATATATGCTGTAATCACCAGTTTCTTTCTTTGCTTGAGAACCACTGGTCTGACCTGCTAGAGCAGTCTCCATTTGAAAAGTGTTGCCCAGGGCTAGGGAGGTGGGTCAGTGGTAGAGCTCTTGCCTTGCACTCACAAGTCCCTGGTTCCATCCCCAACACACACGATAATAAATGAAAAACCTTGCCTATGCCTATGACTGTACTCTCTCAGAGTCTATCTCCTTTCTATAGTACCTGGCTCTGGTGACAGCTAAATTATCCAGGCTGACCTCAAATATGTGATCTTCCTGCCTCAGCCTCCTGAGTAACTGAAATTACAGATATGTATGTACCATTGCTCCTGGCTATTTTCTCTTCACATTCCTGTTCAAAACATGATAATAGCCAGGTATGGTAGCACATGCTTGCATTCTCAGCAACTAGACAGGCTGAGAAAAGATTGCTTTAATCCACAAGTTCAAGAGCAGTTTGGGCAACAGTACATGACCCTATCTCAATAAGAAGAATTTTTATAATGTATCTTTTTTTTTTTTTTTTTTTTTTTTTTTGGTGTTTTGGGACAAGGTCTGGCTCTGCAGTTCAGGCTGGCCTTCAGTTTGCATCAGTCCTCCTGAGTGCTGGGATTACAGACATACCATGCCTGACATACCACACTGTGCCAGACATGCCACACCATGCCCAACAATCCAGTGTACTTTTTAAGGTGCAAATAATATCATTTGAAACATTAGTTGGTCTATGGATAAATAATCACAAAAAAAAATCCAGGTTATTTTCAGAAATTATGAACAGATTTTTAGATCTAATTCTTTTTATTCTGTTCATCTGCTTCCATATAATTAAAGACTTTAATTTTAGAAGTTGAAAAATGATATCAGGTTAGATAGTTAAAATATCAGGTGGTCAGAGTTGTTTTAGTTTTGTTTTTGAGCAGAGGTGGATGTAGTCCCATTTATAGCTTATACCTGAAACAAATCAGAAGTTTACTTAGGTAAATAAACATGTTGGAGGCCCTCCCACTTGTTGAACTGGTTGGTTGGTAAACTGTGTGCTAGGCAACCGGCTTTCCTTCTCTTTTCTTAAAGTTTAGAGATTCAACTTGCTTTTTTATTTTTTTATTTGGAGGTTAAACCCTAAGATGAGAAAAGCTGATCTCTGCTTGAGCTCTGAAGGGGCTGAAGTGATTTTAGCCTCATCGAGTGATGAAAAACACCCACCTGAAAATATTATTGATGGGTAAGAGTTACTGTACTATCTTTCTTAAAGGCTAAACAGCACAGGGACACCCTTGAGCAATGAAAATTGGGCTGTCAAACAGTGTAATAGATGTTTGGTGAATTAGATTGTTGGTATCATTCTGGAACTAACTCAGCTGTTTATATTTAAGTTTTTTATTCTTCTCTGTCATTCCTAAACATGTTAAATTTACAGTTTTTGTTGCAGTGCTGGAGATTGAAGCCAGGGCCTTGCTTATTTTAAGGTAGTGCTTCATTACTGATTTACATTCCCAGTCAATAGTTTTTTGTTTTGTTTTGTTTTTTAACAAGGCAAAAACACAAAAACTACTTATTTTATGGAAATGTAAAATTTGATGTCCAATTTTGGTTTTATTGTAGTCTTTTCTGGAAATAAGAATATAAGCATTATAACTTCCTTTTTTCAATTTTATTGAGAAACAAATATGAATGAGACAGTTTCAAAGCTGATTAATAGGACAGTTTTGATAATCAATACATTGTACATTGTTATCTTCTTTGTGGTTATCCATAGTACAAGAAGCAGACAGGATATCCTGTCCAAACACTATTAGTACACCTCTTTCTTCTCATTGAATTAAGTGAAAGTAACTGTATATGTATCCTATTTTGTATATATAAATACAAAATGAGCTTTCCTTTGTATCCCCTTTTCTTTGTTTAGTCCTGTCAGAGGTGGATATTCTATTGGCATCTAAATACTATAGGTGTTTGAATTCAGCAAAACAACCCAACACTGTCTAGCATTTTATGATATTAGTGGATTATCCTCAGAAGTTATTGACTTCAGCCTTTTACAGCTCATCATATTAATATGGCTTTACTTTATATACCTCATTTTTATACTTTTCTGCTGGATGGTTAAGATCAAGATAAAGCAAGACCAATATAAAAAGAAATGTAACTTTTGTATCTGATAAGGTCATTCACGTCCCCTCAGGATTTATCCTGTAGCCCTGTACCGCACTTTGTAGATCCTTTGTCAGTGTCAGCCATGAGGATGAGTCATGGCCATTGCTTGACCAGTTTGCTCTCTGTGAAAGCCTGAGAGAATGTTTTTTCTCTCCATGTGACTCTCCCCAGGCACACTATACATCATCGATCAAATTCCTCTGTGACTCCATAATCTCCTTGATCAGAAAATTTGGAGTACACCTGAGTTACATGATGTTACAGTACAGGTTCTCCTATGTCCTGAGTCTTTACTGACCTTGAAAAGCTAGGGACAAAATGTTGGCCGACCTTGCAGCCCTTTCTTTTCTCCAATTTTGATTTGCTAACTTTGGTTGTTAACCCTCTAGAAGATAAGCTTATTATTAACCTGCAATTTATGCAGTTTGGTTTACCCTCTCTGTCTAAGTATCAAACATCTTTGGCATATCATGGAACAGGTACTTTCCATCAAATACTGATATGTTGAACTTTAAGTCCTTACAGAATATGAAGGAAAAATAATTTTTAAAAACTAGAAATAAGCATTTTCATATTTTTACAAAGAAATTTAGAAATTTAACCATATACAGAATTGTAACAGGACAGACCTGTGACATCTTTTTTTCTTATTCTTGTGTCTTTTTTTTTTTTTCATTTATTACCCTTTTTAAAAATATACATAGGGGCTGGTGAGATGGCTCAGTGGTCTAAAGCACCTACTTAGAACAAGCTTAGCAAAGCACAGGGACTGCGGTTCAATCCCCCA